CCCCCAAGCTCCGCACCCCCAAGCTCCGCACCCCCAGGCTCAGCACCCCCAAGCTCCGCACCCCGAAAGACAGCACCACCCCCAGCAGGACCTGAGTCACCAGTGACCTCAACAGGCGCAGGCACGGGAGGGTCTACCTGAGAAACACCTGAAGGAGCAGGACCTGGCGCGGGGAGTGGGTCTACCTGGGGAGGACCTGGGGCGAGAAAGAGCGGCGGGGGGGGGCGAGGGGCAGTGCGGTAGGGAAAGAGACGGTAAAAGGGGACGGACTCGTCAAAGGTGACGTCCTGAGACGGAAAGACACGGCGCGAGGCGGGGTCGTAAAACTGCCAGCCAGGCGCGTCAGGGACAAAGCCAAGGAAGACGCAGGGAATGGCGCGAGCGGAGAGCTTGTCCGCGGTGGTATCGCGGACAAAGGCACGAGCACCCCAGACCCGAAAACGCGACGCATCGCCAACCTTCCCCGTCCACAGCAGTGTGGGCGAGGTCTCCGGCAAGGAGACACGGGGCCAGAGGTTGAGCTGATGCGCGGCGTACCGGACCGCAAACGGCCACAGAAAATGGGGGGCAGCCGCATGGATCATGGAGGTACGAGCGACCTCCATGACTAAGCCAATGCGGCGCTCAGCAACCCCATTCTGCTGCGGAGAGGCCGGAAGCGTGAACGTCTGGCGGATGCCGTGCTCCGCACAGAAGGCTGCCAAGAGGTCTGAGGAGAACTCACCACCTCTGTCAGAGTGCAGACGCAGGACAGGAAAGTCCGAGTGGAACCGCTCGCGGAGCTGGAGACGAACAGCGCGGACCCAGGGGATCAAAACATCAGGGACCTCCCCCTTGCTGCGCAAGGGGAAGACCGTAGTGTAACGCGTGTAGTCGTCGACGACCAGCAGGAAGTACCGCTCGTGGCCCTGTCCACGGACGCGGGCTGGGCCCCACACGTCCATGTGGAGAGTCTGCAGAGGAGCCTCTGTGGGAGGAAACGAGGAGGAGTGAGGAGCGGCGCGCTGCCGCCCCTCGACGCAAGGAATGCAGGGCGGCGCAGGCGAGGGAGGGAGGGCAGGCAGAGACTCAGGAAGGCCAGAGACCAGGTAGCGAGAGTGCATGCTACGAAGGCGAGGCAGGGAGGGGTGACCAAGGCAGTGGTGCCACAGGAGGGTGTCGTGCGACAGGCGGCGACACTCACACTGGGTAGCTACCTGAGCAGACGCGTACAGCTGGGGGGACAAAGGGGTGTAGCGTGACGCAGTGGTGAGGGTGTACAGACTAGACCCAGGCGCACGTGTGAACGTGGCCAGGTGACGGCCGGTCCGGGAGCACGTGCAGATCGCCACACGCTGTCCTCCAGGAGTAAAGGTGTCAACCCAGTGATCCTGAAGGACGGCGTTGCTCACCAAGTTCGTAGAGAACGAGGGGAGGTGGAGACCAGACAGCTCACCCGACGGGACCGCCGGACACGGAAGCACAGTGGAAGACCGTGCAAGCACTGGGCCCCCAGAGGGGTCAGCCAGCGAGACAGGAACAGGTGCAGGGAGGGGAGTGACTGTGGTGCTGTCGCGAAAGAAACAGCGGGAAGCACCAGAGTCAAGTGTGAAGGTGTGCAAGGCCTGTGCGGACGGAGTACCAGGGGGAGCAGACTCACAAGCACCTAGTGCCACGGGCGCTATACCTGGGGCTATACCTGGGTCAGGCGGCACACACAAGTAGTAGTCACCCTCAGCACTAACAGTCAATGCATACATGGCAGCAAGAATAGCCTCATAGTCAAGATCAAAGATAGGTACATCACGCCTAAGCAGGTCTGCCCAGTTGGGGAACTCAGTAGCATCAGGAAACTTGGCGCGCCAGGCTTTGCTAAGCCGAGCAAAGCAGCGCTGCTCAGTGTGAAACCTTGTGCACTGGCGACCAGTGCGGGGACCTGTGCGAATGATATAGGGGCAGCGACCAGGACCCCCAGAAGCCCCACGCCCGGCATACCAGTCAAGAAGCTGCTGGGAAGTGGGGGTCTGGCACTGACGCTGCTGCTGCTGCTGCTGCTGCGACTGCTGCTGGCCCTGACCACCACTGCCACCACCGCTCCCTCCTCCCCCACCGCCGCTGCTGCCACCTCCACCGCTCCCAGTGCCTCCGCTGCCCCCTCCACCACCTCAACCACCTCAACCACCTCCACCCCCACGACCTCCTCCACCATCTCCACCTCCCCCGCCGCCACCCCCACCGCCACCTCCACCGCCACCCCCACCTCCCCTGCCACCCTTGCCGCCCCTGCCGCTGCGACGCTTCCCACTAGGAGCGGAAGCAGCCCCGACCTCCTCAGCACCAAGGTAGTCGTGAGCAGCAGCTGCGGAGGCGTAGGAGGGGGTGAGAGGGGAGGGGGAGCACCCCTCAAAGAGGGGAGAGCGAGGAGTGCCACGAGCAGCACCTACAGCGAGGATGTTCTTCTCCGCTGCGAAGAGGTGCTTCTGGAAGTCGTCGACAGTGAGAGTGGGGGGGTCTAGCGCTAGGAAGTGGTCCCTGACGGAGCTAAGAGTGTCAGGGAGGCGGGTGACGAGGAAATAGAGAGTGAAGTACATCGGGGGGGGGGGGGGTTTGCGGCGCAGAAACTCGGCTGAAAGGGCGGCACGAAAGCGAGTGTCAGTAGCGCGCAGGTGGGAAATGAGGTCGTCAGCAGTGGTGAACGAGGAGAGGTCGGGGAACAGGTAGGGTAGCATGAGCCGACCTATGGCTGCAGTGGCCGGGGAGGAGTAGCGCGCAACTACAGCGTCGTACATCGTCTTAGCAGTTTTGTGCTGGCTGAAATGCACGCGCGCTCAGTAATCGGCAGATGGTTCCTAATAGCTAGGCGCGCAGCAGCATCGCGAGTCTGCCACTGCGAGCGTTCGAGAGCAGGAGCATCGGCAGCAGGAGCAACGACAGTGCCAGACACGTAATCGAACAGTGAAACGCCCTCTTTGGCATCGGTCAGAAGGAACAGTTGGAGGTCGTCTAACCACACAGCGAACTCTATGGGGCGACCGTCAGGCTCGAACGCAAGAACGTTAGGCGTCGTCATAATGACAGCAGGCACCGGACAAGAGGCAGTAGGCAGCAGGCAGGAGGCAGCAGGCAGTAGGCAGTAGCGGCCGCACGTGAGCTCCTAAAGCAGTGCGTTAGGCAGCAGCGGGCCGCTCAGGTGGCCGTCGTGACGCGTGGGCTACAGATGCGGCGCGCGGCTCGGCGGCGGGCCGCACTGGCGACAGACGCGGCGCGCAGGGCGACGGCGGGCTGCACGCGACGGCAGGCTACGTGCGGCGGCAGGCTGCGCGGGCTCGACGCGGGATGCGCGGGCGACGCGGGCGCGAGCAGCCGTGGCGCGCGCGAAAAAAGCGACGCGCGCGCGAGCAGCCTAGGCGCGCGCGAAAAAAAAGGTGACGCGCGCGCGCGGGCAGCCGAGGCGCGCGCGAGCAGCAGGCAAGGCAGGAAGGCAGTAGGTAACAACGGTACGGGTGGGCCCTATTCTTAGGTCTAGAGACCTCCTGCTCTAGATACCATATCGAGACTAAGGCAAGGGAATGATTTGACTATCGAGAAGGTGGGTGCAAGAGAAGTAACCTAAGGGGTTATACCCCACAGTGAGTACCCTACTAAGCCTACCCAAACTATAAACATAGATATATGTTTGACATGAAAATCCATTGTTATGGTTACCGTACGCGTTAGAAAGCCCCATGTTTGTTACCATTCGCATATTTTCCCAAACGCATGTCCCCTTCACTTGCAGGTGTACTAAATCTATATTCCATGTTGAATTTCCTGTTAACGTATATGCACCGGTACAAACGTCCTCCTTTAGCCAAATATACCATCTAGAATTAAATGCAAAAAACATTATATGATTTTTAGGAATATATTGTGTACATATGTTTGGTACCCGTTTAACGTGAGAACCATCACGTATGTCACTTGTATAAGTAGTTTACAAATGTGTTGTTATGTACAATTAACTTGTGTTTATACAAGGTTCTGCTATCCCCGTCATGCGGTCAAACCGAGTTGCATTGCTTCGTAGAAGCCAAGCTCCGGGTTCTGCGAACGTCGCGAGCTCCTCTGCCAACTGTGAGAATCTGTTCGAATTTCGTGCTGCCGCCCAATTCTTCACGTGCATGTGACAGAATTCGACGTATGAAATGCACATGAGTGACGGTGCTCGACGTATGCCACCAATCACGCTGATCGGGAACCACGCGGGTGTTTGCTGACCCACAGCTTCCAGCTTCGTCCCTACCGTTCTGCCAGTCAGCCGAATAATTGACACGCTTTGCATTTCTAGCTTTCGAAGGAATGCTAGCTGGCCGATGAACAGAAAAACCTACCACCTGCATGGGGGTTTCTTTCTGTTTGCAACCGGGAATCCTTCTCGTCTCGACACACCCTTCCATTCGGCCAGGTGGCGGATCTGAATTGTCTGCTAAGTACAGGGTATCATTTTTCTGTGAGACTTTGTGTCACAGTTCGACGACCAAACAGATTGGGTCCGATCGGGGTAGGGAATCTCATGCTGAGTATGCATATGAAATTCCAGTCTGGGTAGTTCGCTAAAACATTCTTTCACCGTGGAGATTGAAACCAGCAAAACTGGACACTGCTGTGTGGAAACCAACGTGGACGGCCTTTGCGGTCGCAGTGGGACAGGACAAGACTGTGCATAAACAGCTTTTCACGAGGCAATCCTGGTAAATGTCCCAGAAGAAATACTGCCAGTTTGAAACCCCAAAGCAGCTTCTCCTCCTGGCCCACCTAGCCAAGCCTCACTCAGGCCGTAACAGCACCACCGACCGCAGCACTTTTATCCTCTCGCACAGCCCTCCCTAGCAATCAGTCTCCTGGCTCAACAACGCACCATAGCTGCTAATTGTGGGAAACGCTGAAGTTCAGTCCACACCATAGCACCACCACCATCTCCGCCTCACTTAGTCTCCGCTAAGCCTTAACTTACAGAAAAAATGGCGGTCATTGTGCAGTCCATGTCTCCGTCCTTGACCAGCGTACAGTCAGTCGCCCAGCCGTGCCTTCAATCGTTCCAGCAACGGCTTCACCCGTGCCGCGGGCTCGCAACAAGGACTAGTACCGACAGCTCTCTCCCTAAGACCGATAGTTTTTCAATAGTCGAGTCAACTGGTTTCGGCTGTAGTAGTCCTGCAGAGAGCGCTGCTGTACAGAGTGCCTTAGCCGACGTCAGCGCGGGAATGTTAGCCGGTCAGGTTCCCGAAATTACCCCCGACGGTTCTGGCGGTACTTATATGCTTCGTGATGCGACCGGCGAATCGCGCATTGCGGTTTTCAAGCCTATGGATGAGGAGCCGCTGGCCTGGAATTGCCCTCGAGGGATGCCGCCGAGCGAAACGGGCGAAGGATTGAAGCGTGGGACTCGCGTTGGCGAAGGCGCGTTTCGTGAAGTCGCAGCGTATCTTCTGGACCACCCACTTCGCGAAGGCGATGCAGAGGGTTTCGCAGGAGTGCCTCGAACCGCACTGGTTACATGCGACGTCAAATTCTTTGCGTCTTCATTGGGCTCTCCAGTTTCAATTCTAGGCGGCCTGTCTTCTGCTGAGTTCGGTTCAAGGAAGATTGGTTCGTTGCAGCAATTTGTCCCCGCTATAAGCAATTGCGAGGATATGGGTCCGTCACGGTTCGCTGCTTCGGAAGTTCACAAAATTGCCATTCTGGATATGCGGCTCGCGAATACTGATCGGAACGGCGCCAACATCCTGGTGAAAAGCGACGAGGCAGATTTGAAGCTCATCCCAATCGACCATGGATACTGCCTTCCGGAGACGTTGGAAGACTGTACATTCGAGTGGTTGTACTGGCCTCAAGCGAAGCAGCCTCTAAGCGAGGATGTCAGGAATTATATTGAGAGGCTTGACGCCGAAGCTGACCTGGCGCTTCTACAGGCGGGTGGGTGGGCCGTGAACGGCGCATGCGCACGCGTGTTTCGCGCGGCGACGCTCCTGCTTAAGAAAGGGTCGGCTGCAAATCGAACGGTCTTCGAGATTGGCTCCATGATGGTTCGCGACGATCCCGAGGTTCCATCCGCGTTAGAAGACATGCTGGCACGTGCGGAAGATAAGGCGCTGAGTGGAGCAGCAGGGGGTGATGTTTTTAACTGCCTGGGTGATATCGTTGACGTTCACTTTGACTCTACTGCGAAGTAGAAGTTCTGGATGCTAAAATACTGCTCTACATGCTCCCTCAAGGGACAAGCCATCAGCAACAGGGCCGTCATAGGCTCTGCATACACTTGTAACTCTTATGGGTTGTGTTCATAATGTGCATTTGTGCATTTCTGCTTCCAAGGTTCCTCACCTTTCTTGTCATAACCTGCACATGGGCAACGCGAGTTGAAGAAACATGCATTTGTGTGAGAAGGCCAGAAACTTCCGACTCTGGAACAGGAGGCAACAGGAAGAACAAGAGATAAAGAAAAAGACCAGTTTGACGTTTCAAACAATCATTAACCGTTTGAGCTTTACAGATATGCTGGGTCACGTAGCAACCAGGGTCCTCATGTTCAATATAGGGAACACTTTAACCATCAGTGTTGACACTTCAATTCAAACAATTCTCTTACTATTCAGTGTGATACTTCTTACTACAGTACCATTGTATATTGGATTATATAGATTCGATCTGCATCTTTAGTCTTTAGTATACGGTACACTACAAGGTTCACGCATCTTGATCACGGGGGCAAATCGAGCTCGAGGACCTTCTTCGAAGCCAAGCATCAGGTCCTGCGAACGTTGTGGACTCCTCTGCCACCTGTGCGATCTGCACGAATTTCTTGCTGCTGCTCAGTTTTTCTCGTGCGTGTGAGTGACTGTATCTGACGTGCGCGACCAATCACGTTGATGGTTAACAACCCACTTGATTACTGACCCACAACTTCTGGTTCTTCCGGTCAGTCGAAATTTCGACACTCTGTGCTGCAGCTTTCCCAAAAGAATGCTAGCCTGGGCCATGAACAAAACAAACTGCCGCCAGAAGGGTTTTTAGTTGAACGCGCACTGTTACTCAACTTATTCGCTCCCCGCGCAACTACAGCGCTTCGGGCGCACTGTTACTGTCCAGAATTCGCTCACAGCGCAGAGTTATTGCGATTTCAACGCAGTTTTGCTATCATTGGTCACAAAATTGACGGGCCGACAACCCTGGTTGGATTGACGGCCACCGAACCGCAAACGCTAATATTTCGGGCATAACAAATATAAAACCCTATCGGGTGGCATATTTTTTTAGGGAGGCATCAACCCTAAACACCAGGCGGCAAGGTGTTTAGGGTTGATGCCCTTCCCAACGAGTATATTTTTTCGATGGCGTGCCTTCGATAGAGCATCAACCCTAAACACCATTCGGAAGGTGTTAATGGTTGTACCCTTCTGAATGGAATATTTACTTATCTACCATTAAAAGGATGAATAAAATTGTTACTGTTTTCGCTGACAGTATCCACAGGTTCAGTTTGTAGTTATGTGCCATGTTTCGACCAATGAAATCAAAACTGCGTTGAAATCGCATTGTTTCTGCGATCAAAGCGAAAACTGGGCAGTAACAGTGCGCCAGAAGCGCTGTAGCTGCGCTGGGAGCGAATAAGTACGGTACCAGTGCGTGATCAACTCAAAACCCCCGCCAGAATGTGGGCTTCTTTCTGTTTTGGAACTACAGTCCTCTCTAAAGTATTCTTCCATTCAGTCAGGTGAGTGTTGGGGAAACATTTTTAGGGAAATACAGATTGTGGCATGGTTCATTTTCGAGGAGCTCTCCACAAATGGCGTGCTTCATTTAATCTGCCGGACCAGCTTCTTAGCCTCGGAAACTGCCTCGGACCTGGCGTGGATCCTTCAACCCAACCACTTGCTCTGCTTTTTGGCAGTGTGTTTCCAAAAAAAAAAATCACGATCAAATTTGGACACTTGGTATGCAGGATAGTTCGTGAACCTTCGACTAAACAAGCCAGTTTGAAACCATAGCTGCTGCTTCTGCTGCTGGCCCACCAAGCCAAGCCTCACTCAAGCCTCAGCAGCACCGCACAACCTACGTGCTCGGTCTCTTGGCTCAGCACACCACAGCTACACCCTGTTTCTCAACGTTCGGACAATCGGGAGCCCCAGCTACAGTGCGAACGTGTGCTTGGATTTTGCGGGCTGGTGCTTGCAACCGAGCCCCAGGTAGGTGGCGGGCAAATGCAGTCCAGGAGAACGATACACAACGGTTTATGAAAGAAACAATGCTATCGCGTACGGTTGATTGCGGCGAATTGTGCTTATATGCTATGTTCTGGGACCGTTTTGGACGCGTTGATGTCAGAATAAGCGGCATGTCAATACAGCGAATGTCAGTGTGGCGCGAAACAGGGTGTAGTGGTAAATCGCTGAAACGCAGTCCATTTCACAGCACCACCGCCACCTCCACCCTCCCTTATCGTCGGCCGTGCCATTAGATTATCATTGTTACAGCTAAGCCTTAACTTCCGACAAAAATGGCGGCCATTATCCAGTCCATGACTCCGTCGTTGACGGTCTTTGTCCAGTCCATCTCTCCGTCGTTGACCACCGTGCAGTCAGTCGCCCAGCCTTGCTTCCCGGTAGATAACGCTGGCAAAAATAACCCTCGGTTGTTTGAGCGACGGCTTCATTCGTGCCACGGCGTCGCAACTAGGACTAGTACCGATAGCACTCTCCCAAAGACCGATAGCTTTCCAATTGTCGAGTCAACTGGTTTTGGGTGTAGTAACCCTGCAGAGAGTGCTGCTGTACAAAGAACCTTGGCTGACGTCAGCGCGGGATTATTAGCCGGCCAGGCTCCTGAAATTACCCCCGACGGTTCTGGCGGTACTTATATGCTTCGCGATGTGACCGGCGAATCGCGCATCGCGGTTTTTAAGCCGATGGATGAGGAGCCATTGGCTTGGAATTGCCCTCGAGGGATGTCGCCGAGCTTAACGGGCGAAGGACTGAAGCGTGGAACTCGCGTTGGCGAAGGCGCGTTTCGCGAAGTCGCAGCGTATCTTCTGGACCACCCACTTCGCGAAGGCGATGCAGAGGGTTTCGCAGGAGTGCCTCGAACCTCGTTGGTTACTTGCGACGTAAAATATTTCGCGTCTTCATTGGGTTCTCCAGTTTCAATATTGGGCTGCCTGTCTTCTGCTGAGCTCGGTATAAGGAAGATTGGGTCGTTGCAGCAGTTCGTCCCCGCTATAAGCAATTGCGAGGATATGGGTCCGGCTCGGTTCGCTGCTTCGGAAGTTCACAAAATCGCTATTCTGGATATGCGAATGGCGAACGCGGATAGGAACGGCGCCAACATCTTGGTGAGAAGCGACGGTGCAGATCTGAAGCTGATTCCGATCGACCACGGATACTGCCTTCCGGAGACGTTGGAAGACTGTACTTTTGAATGGTTGTACTGGCCTCAAGCGAAGCAGCCTCTAAGCGAGGAAGTCAGGGAATATATCGCGAAACTTGACGCCGAAGCTGATCTGTCGCTGCTGCAGGAAAATTGCTGGGCCGTGAAAGACGCGTGCGCGCGTGTGTTTCGCGCGGCGACGTTACTTCTGAAAAAAGGGTCGGCGGCAAATCGAACGGTCTTTGAGATTGGCTCCCTGATGGTTCGCGACGATCCCGAGGTTCCGTCCGCGCTAGAAGACATGCTGAGTCGTGCGGAAGAGAAGGCGCTGAGTGGAGCAGCAGGAGGTGATGTGATTAACTGTCTGGGTGAAATTATTGACCTCCACTTTGAGTCTAGGGCCGAGTAGTGCCCTAAATGCTCCCCCAAGAGAGAAGCCATTGTCTAAAGGGAACTCTGCGTACACTCTGGATTGTGTGTTCATAATGTGCATTTGTGCAATACAGCTTGAAAGGTACCACCTTATCTCCTTATCATAACCTGAACATGAACAAGCTGAGAAAATAATCACTTCAACGTGATGCGGTGTGGAACTACCCCTCAGCCTGTTGCTGCACAATTCAACTTCCACCTCGAAACCCATGCATGCATGCATTAATGCCACTGATTGAAAAGTCTAGCACAAAAAGAAACACCAGACAACAGGAAAAAACCTTAAGACCACACAAGGACATGGTTCTGTTTCTGTAACAGACAGTCAACCAACAATCAACCATCAGACTCTGCGAATCTGCCGGCAGAGGCACATCAGTCTGCCAGCCTGTTCTGTGAACTATCCAGTAAACGCAAGTCAACCAGAGTCAACCAGATACCATAAACCATCACCACTGGCAGAGGCACGTCCTGCCAGCCAGCACGTCTGCTACCCACCCATTCAACAAGAGTCAGGCTCTAGAGATCTGGTGGCGTAGGTACGTCTGCCAGCCACCCAGTCAACTCAAGTCAACAAAAGTCAAGCTCTATACATCTGCCGGCAGAGGCACGTCCTGCCAGCCAGCACAAGCCACCACCACCTCACGGCTACACTGCCCCCACAGTGACCAATCACAGCTGTACACGTGGCCAGGGTCAAACACCCCCTCGCTGCCCTGCTCCTTGCTCTGCGCACCGTTCAAAAACGAGTTACCTTGAGACTTGAGGCTGCCACTTGCAGGTTCTGCCCTGTCAGGTGCCTGGTGGGTGAGGGAGAGAGGGAGAGAGAGGGGCAGTGGAACACATTGGCTCAAACACCCCTTCGCTGCCCTGCTCCTTGCCCTGTGCCCCGTTGAGAAACAAGTCGCCTTGAGACCTGAGGCTGCCACTTGCAGGGGCTGGCCTGTCAGGCGCCTGGAGTGAGGGAGAGAAAGGGGAGTGGAAGGCATTTGAGGATTTACTAGAGTGCCAAACTCCCACTCTACTCGCTGCCCTGCTCCTTGCCCTGCGCGCCGTTGAGAATCAAGTCCCCTTGAGACTTGAGGCTGCCACTCACAGGGGCTGGCCTGTCAGGCGCCTGGAGGGAGGGAGCGACGGAGAGCGGAGTGGAGCACAATTGAGAGGTCACTAAAGTGCCACCAAACACCCCGACACTGCCCTGCTCCTTGCCCCGACACTGCCCTGCTCCTTGCCCCGACACTGCCCTGCTCCTTGCCCTCACTAAAGTGGCGCAGCTGAGACTTGAGGCTCAGCGGCTGGCCTGTCAGGTGCCTCGTCAGTGAGTGAGTGAGGGAGCGAGGGAGGGAGGGAGGGAGGGAGGGAAAGAGGGAGGGAGGGAGGAGGGAGAAGAGGATAGGGGGAAAACAGGACAGATTTGGGTCCATCACCTGAGTCTCACAGAATAAATTAGTCTGTTCTGACCACATGCTGTCACCGGAATGAACTGGCCTCAGTGGCCTGGTGAGAGAAATGTGAGAGAAATGTGAGAGAAATGTGAGAGAAATGCTCCTGGTGGGAAGAAGTGGGGGAAGATAGTCAAATTGGGTCTACCCTATCGACCATGCCCATTTGAATGGAGAGGAGTATAATCCACACATCATCATCTATCTTCTCATGCATGACTGGTCGGCTATCTATGAAAGGTTCTTGAAATCTCTCCGAAAGCAGTCGGAAACAAAAAGATCCTTGAAAAATGTCTCAGAAACTGTCCGAAACAGGAAAACTCGCCTTTGAATGATGGTGTTTACCTACTTATTCAGACAAAATACATCGTATCAGGTGAAAAGGCAATATTACCTGCTCGCTATAGTACTCAAATGTCTTTTTCTTCTTCCCTGCTTCGTATATACAGTGTTGGGACAAGACCTGATAAGAGAAAAAAACATGTGGGAAAGAAGAAAGCATGCAGCGGTAACCGCGCAAACATCAGCAAAACACTCACCGGGATGACAGAGGAGAAAGAATCAGAAATAAGAAGAAAGGGAAACAATGCATCCATGGTCATCCATGGACTTATACAGAGCTATAAGGTGCGATGAATGCCCTTGACATGTTCCTGAATCTCGCTGCCATACACCCTGACTTTTGAGTCGATTCAAAAGTCACCTTACGGCATGATGTACGGTTTTGACATGTTCCTGAATAGGGCAAGGGAAACGAATAGCAGTGCTATAAGCCGTAAGAAGGGCGTTGACATGCTCCTGACTCTCACTGCCACACACCCTGCCGTTAAATCGTTCCTTCCACCTCCACATCCTTACCACAACAAACACAAGCACCAGCAGCAACGCCAACACCCACCTGTGCCTCGACACTTGAACACACAGCATAGACCCCCCAATCCCGAGTGTAGTTCTTTTGAGTCACCTCATAAGTCAACCCAGCAGGAACGCCAACAACACCCACCTGTGCCTCGACACTTGAACACACAGCATAGACCCCCCAATCCCGAGTGTAGTTCTGTTCATGCAAGAAAGACGGGACAAGGAAAGAGACATGGGATGGTGAAGGAGCGGCCGATGCTTGCATGACATGACCCATGTGGAACCATTGAAAGTACACCACATGGTAGGTGCACCGCTTATGACCCAGCCGAGCCCAGTGGTAGGCGCATCGCACCGCACCCACCAGCACTCGCCAGCACTCACCAGCACCCACCATCACCCACCAGCACCCAAACCCACCAACACCACGAAGTTGCCTTTATGAGTTGACTCAGAATGCATTGCCTTGATATAATGTCACTCGCACTGTACAATGCACTTTGCCGAACCTCTTGAGGAGCCTCAGAAATTGACCCGAGGAACCTCCCACAGTGCATATATGCACCTTGCCAAACCTGACCCTCGGTCGGGTGCTGCTGCCCTTGCTCAAACTCTAAACACTTGCATGCGCTATGAAGCTAATAATTCCAATCAGACCGCTAATTTCCCTGACTCACATTGTACAGATGCACCTTGCCGAACCTGACCCGCGGGTGCCTCTGCCTCGTCCCATCAAAGAAGCAGTGGTGGATGGAGGCTCGGATGTCCCGATCCTCCGTGTGCTTCGGATCCGCACCTATCAGCATCGTTTTGTCATGGTTGTAGAAATGACACCTGGAGAGGAAGGGGGTGGGTGGGTGGGAACGTGCATTTGCATTCGCACCTATCAGCATTGTCTTGCCATGGTTGTAGAAATGGAGGAAGGGGAGGAGGGGCGGAGGTGGGGAAGGGGAGGAGGGGCGGAGGTGGGGAAGGGGAGGAGGGGCGGAGGTGGGGAAGGGGAGGAGGGGGAAGAGGGGGAGGAGGGGGAAGAGGGGGAGGAGGGGGAGGAGGGGGAGGAGGGGGAGGGAAGAGGGGGAGGGAGGGGCGATGAGGGGCATTTGGGTCTGCACCTATCAGCAATATTTTGTGATGCTTGTGAAAGTGACATACGGAGAAGCTAGGCATATGGGTTACAAGGCAAATGGAAGTTTAGAGAAGTGGAAGTGAGTCATCTAAGAGAACAACCGTGGTGACTTTGAGTTGACTCAAAGGTCACCTCACTCTTACCTTGATATAGTCACATCAGCTATACCTCGCGTAACGCGTTACGTCAATCAGCCCATCATCAGTTATACCTCTAAAGGCCCCTCAACCTTACCTCGATATAGTCACATCTGTTGACCCTCGTGTTATGTCAATCAGCCCATCATCATAATCCGACAGTGTGCATCGGTCCACCCACACATGGGCCACCTGGGGTTTCATCTGGATCGCATCTGCATCGTGGCCCCGACCACCTGTCAGGAGAAAACAACAGAGGATCACGTGCTGCGAGTCACGCAGCTGCAGGCCGGCACCCTGAAGTATCACCTGCAGGAGGAAAGGAGGATGCAACCAGGCCAGATGGAAACTGGATTGGACAAGGAAAACAGCCGAGGGAATGGAAGGGGAGGAGGGAAGACGGGGGTGGGGATGGGGGGGAACCGGGACGAAATGGGGTATGTGGGGTGTGTGAAGGTTAAAAGCACAATCAGGTTCCAGCAAAAGAATTATTTGCATTCTGATGCATCTGACCTGAAAATAATGGAAAAGAAAATAGAAAATACACTTTTCATCTCTTACCCACTGTCCAGTCCTAAAAACACATCTTACTCTCTCTGTTCCCGGCCGTCTATGGTGGTGAAGGAGGGCACGCGGATGGGCGAGGATAGGGGACAATAACAGGGAAGGGAGAATCAGCTGTGAGAATGGAAGCTATCACCTCTCTTTCTGTCCAATAAGAACATCTTACCCTCTGGCCTCGGCCGTCTATGGTGGGTGCAGGAGGGCACTCGGATGGGCGAGGATAGGGGCATTCACGCGGGTGAGAAGGAAGTCACTACCTCACTCTCTGCCTCGAAGCCATACTCACCCTTTACCTAAAAGCCAGACTCACTCTCTGTCCTCGGCCGTCTATAGTGGTGAAGGAGGAAAAAAGCTCATGAAAAAAGCTCATGAGGGAACATCTTACCTTTTGCCCTCGGCCGTCTATAGTGGTGAAAGAGGAAACTCGGATGGGCGGGGTAAGAGGCATTCAGTTAGAAAAAAAGCTCATGAGGGAACATCTTACCTTTTGCCCTCGGCCGTCTATAGTGGTGAAAGAGGGTACTCGGATGGGCGAGGAGAGGCAGATGGTGCCCGAGACAGCAAAGACGATCCACCTGGCCGCTACCTTGTGCTTGCATGCATCCCTCAGAGTGTTGGGACCGCTGTCTGTTGTAACAGGGGTGAGAGAAAGATACTATCACATTCTGTGGCCTGAGGGGCACGCGGATGGGCGAGGAGAGGCAGATGGTGCCCGAGACAGCAAAGACGATCCACCACGCCGTCTTGTGCTTGCAGGCGTCCCTCAGAGTGTTGGGGCCGCTGTCTGTTGTAACAGGGGTGAGAGAAAGATACTATCACATTCTGTGCCTTCTTGTGCTTGCAGGCGTCCCTCAGAGTGTTGGGGCCGCTGTCTGAAGAAACGAGGGGGAGAGAAAAGAGGCGAACGGGGGATGACGGGAACGATGCTACCTTATTCTGTGGCCCGAGGGGCGCGCGGACGGGCGAGGAGAGGCAGAGGGTGCCTCAGAACATAGAATGACAGAAGTATCTCGGTGCCTCAGATTAGAACTCTCGCGATGTGCTCAGAAAACCTGGGTGCTATATCCGTGCCTGGAGCCCTCAGAACACAGAGGTTCTCAGAAAGAAAGAAGCAGCACAGCAGAGTCTGTACCTACGAGGTAAAAAAACTCCCTGGGTACGCACGGTTAAAAAAACTGGCAAGGTGCGTTTCAGGCGATTTGAACGGGACGGGACACGATTCGCTATCATGTTCCCCTGTTGACTGCGAACCAAATTCCTTCGCCAGTACCTGCTAGGGAGGTAACGGTGTAAATCTCGCCATCCCTCCCGCCGATGCTCTGCGATCCGAACCCTTCCGCAGCTCCCGCCAGCGATCGCAGAGTCGCATCGGCGTTCGCATAAGGCTGCCGGTCCACCCCCCGGAAAATCCGGGAGGACGCGGATGAGGAAGTTATGCTGGAAGCCATACCTCCTTACGCTACTTCGAGCGGACTAACATACTAGTTTTAGTGCACGAACTGACAAAACACTCGGTTCAGTTGGGGTTCTCACGGTATAACACGCATCGGCTTAGCTAATAAAATGAAACCAGTCACCTAGCACAATGTTAGAGTGCGCGGACTCAATGAACTGATTGTACAATGAAGGCACGCGCTAATATAGTGATTACCCTAGCTAGGAGGGAACCTCGGGAACACGAGGTTGGGTGCAGGTTTGGCGATTGGAAAGCCGAAGGCGACGCGGTTCAGCCTCGGCATCGTGGTTGTCGGCCGAACGTGCTGAGGGTGCATTCGTGGCCCGTTTCAGACTTCAGGTCAAAAGCCCTTAGTCTCCAATTTGGCTCATCCGAACTCGGATTCGCCTCACAAACGACCCACTTCGGGTCTTCCGAGCCTCCACTTCGGGTCTGACCTGATGTCTGACACGGGATACGAATGCGCCCTGAGTCCGAATTGTCGGGGTTGTACGCGTAGCAGTCATCCCCGGTAAGGAATAAGGAAATTCCTTACACTACCGCCCCCCTAAGAAAGGTGGTCAATATCCGCAACTCGCTTGCGGGCGAAATAATCACCAAGAAGCGAGGAAGCTTCAAGCGAGGCAAATGGCACCCACGTCTCGTCCTCAATGGTGCGGTCAGTCCAACGGACTAAAAAGTCCACGTGGCGGCCAGAGGCGTCGAGCCGAATTCGATGCGCCAAAATCTTCGACGGGTCGGATGTCCGTTACGGGACAGGTCCTGCTGTCGGGGCGGCGTTCTGGCGCGCGATGTCTGTCGTGGCAGGCACGAACTTGCGAAGTAGGCTGACATGGAAGGCGCCATGGATACGCCAGTCGTCGGGTAGCAGCAGCTTCGCGGTGACAGGTGTCACCATCTGGATGATGCGAAAAGGCCCACAAAATCGTGGCCGTAGCTTGTTCGAGCCGGGCAGGCATAGGTTTTCTGTGTCGAGTAGCACTAGTTGCCCATGCGTCATGATGATTTCCCGTCGCAGGAGATTCGTGTATTTTCGGACAGTAGTATTAACCTCGCGAATTGCGTCGGCTGCGTTCTCGCGAATCTCCTAAAGTCCGTTCACAAATGTTTGTGACCGTGGGAATGGGTTGTCGAGTATAGTTGTGGTTGGCACCACCGGGTCCATCCCGTAATTCAGGAAGAACCGTGAGTGATTAGTCGTGCTAGACGGTGCGTTGTTGAACGCGAACTCCATCATGGCGAGCAATGTTTCCCAGCGAGCGGGGTCGAGGCAGTTTGTCCTGATCAGCTGCTCCATTGTCTGATTGGTCCGCTCGGTCTGGCTGTCGGTTTGCGGGTGGTATGCCGACGAAAACTGTAGTTTCGTGCCGTACTGCGCCCATGTCTCCTTCCAAAACTTCGAAGTTAACTTCGGGTTCCTGTCGCTGACGATCGCTGACGGGATGCCGTGTAGTCGCACAACGGCCGAGATGAAAAGGCGCACAGTTTCTTCGCCTGTGATTGTCGTGCGACATGGTGGTAAGTGCACAATTTTCGTTGCCGGACGGGCCAGCTGACAGCCCCATTACGAAGTCCATCGTCACTTGTTGCCACGGTCGTTCGGGTGGCTCCAGGGGTTGCAACAATCCAGCTGGTCGCTGGCGCGTTGACTTCATGGCTTGGCACACCCTGCACGAAGACACGTATCGCTGCACGCCGTTAGAGGAACCAGGCCAGTAATATTGTCGGTGCAGCAGTTTCTGGGTTTTGTCAACCCTGAAATGCCAGGTGAGATTTGAATCATGGACATTTTGGATAAGGAGTTCACGCAGCAGTCGGTAAGGAGTTTAGGTAATAATACCCCTTCTGCGTCGTCGCATGCTGGTGATTCCCAGTCGTGAAGAACGGGTCTGTAGTGTAACCGTGAGTGAATATTCTCGTAAGTAGCGGGTTCGAATGGGTGATGAGTACTGCACCGGATTGAACTGTTGGTCGGGTAAGGGCGTCGGCGATGTTATTCGCCCCTTTCTTGTACGCGATGCGGTAGGTGAAATGGCTCTCCATGTAATCGAGCCACCGAACTTGTCGCGGATTGAGGTTGGGCTGCGCTCGCAGGTACTGTAGGGACTTGTGGTCCGTGCAAACAGTGACGTCGGCGCCCACCAAGTAGCAGCGCCACAGTTTGAACGCGTGTATAATAGCGAGCATCTCCTTGTCGTGTATCGGGTAGTTGCGATTGGCTGACTGCAGCTTGCGTGATTCATAGGCGATCGGCTGCAACCTGTTCCCGAAATCCTAGAGGAGTACAGCTCCAATGGCGAAATCTGAGGCGTCGGTGATGACTTCGAACGGCTTCGATGGGTTGGCGATGCGCAGTACCGGAGGGGATACCAGAAAATTCTTCAGTTCATGAAAAGCCGCCTCAGCCTCCCTCCCCTACACAAAATTGGTGTCCTTCTGCAGTAGGTCGGTCAGCGGGCTGGTTATCCCCGCCATATTCGGGATAAACCGCCGAACATAATTCACGAACCCCAGAAAACTATGAAGTTCCGTGACGTTAGTCGGTAAATTCCACTCCTGTATGGTCTTGATTTTTTGCCGGGTCGATTTTAATGCCGTCACGGGAGATGACGTGCCCCAAAAACTCCAACTCTTGCTTAAAGAACTCGCACTTTGAGCCCTTGGTGATGAGACGGTTGTCGTGTAGCCGTTTATACACAGCGCCGAGATCTCGGAGGTGTTTCTCCCGTGTCCTGCTAAAGATCAAAACATCGTCCTAGTAGACGATAACACACTTGTCGAGAAGATCGTGTTCATGGTCAGTTGAAATGTTGAGGGCGCATTCGTGAGGCCGAACTGCATCACTTGGAACTCGTAGCTTCCGTAGCGGGTGCGAAACGCGGTCTTGTGACAATCGTCGGCGAAGACCCGAATCTGATGGTAACCGCCACGTAAGTCGATTTTCGAAAAGTAACGAGCGCCGCGAAGTTGGTCGAGTAGGTCGTCGGTGCGTGGGATGGGATAGCGAGACTTCATTGTAACCCGGTTGAGCGCGCGATAGTCTATACACATGCGAAGCCCGCCATTTTTTTTCGGCATGAACATGATCAGGGCCGCGAAGGGAGATGTACTGGGTCGAATAAACCCCTTCTCCAACAGGCCATCAATTTGGCTTCGCAGCTCCTCTAGTTCCGGCTTGGTCAACCGCCACTGTGTACGAACAGTCGATTGCGCGCCAGGTTCTAGCTTGTGGTCCTCGGGGCGTTCGGGTGGCAGTCCAGGTGGCAGGTCGTCGGGGAAGATGTCTGGGTACTGTCGAATCCGCTCCGCTAAATCAGGCGGTACAGCTGCACACAGCTTCTCGATGTCCTGACCCTCAGTGTCGGCTGCCAACTCGCACAAACATACGGCAAACAGCTGCGCGCCTCGGTGAAGTGGCGAGATATAGTGATAGCTTTGACGCACGGGGCTTGGATGTAGTCAGGTGTCCATGCAGGCAGCTTAATTAGCCCCTCATGCTTGCTGATGCTGCACGATCCCGTTGTCCAGTCGATGATGGGGTTGTGCTGTCTCAGCCAATCACGTCCCAGTAGCACGTCGCAGCCGTCCAGCGTCGTCGCGAGAAACTTCATGCTGAAGCCGAAAACGTCGCCGCATTCGATCCACACCGTCCTTGTTTCCTCCAAAATCGTCAGAGGCGCCATCCACGAGGCGAGTGTCGATTTCGGGTAGACACCAGTCAAGTTGCAGCTTGCATTTTTTTTTTCTGTCGCCAAGTTGAAGAGGCTATGGCTAGCCCCGCCATCGACGAATATTTTCATGTTATTTTATAGCACTGTGCCAACGACCAGCACAGGGTGATCCACATGGTTATCCCCGTTATTCGGCGAGTGCGATCGATTGCATGAATCGGAACCACGACTCGGTGGGGATGTTGGTGTTCCGGCGACGGAGCACAGTCAGTAAGGGGCCCGTTAATTACGGACTCTTCCCATTTCCCTGCTCCCTCCTGTAGTTCCCCTTCGCCAGCGTCAGTCGCTCATGTAGTGACCCGACTTCCCACACTTATAACACAACCCTTTAAAGGGGCGGTCAGGTGCGTGGACTCCGTTGATTGTGGCCCGCTGGGTCAGGCCGTGAAAACGGTTTCCCTCCCGGAAACCCACCCTCGCCCACTGCATCAGCGCATCCGTGGATTCTGCCAACTGTACAGCTTCCATGAACGTTGACGGGCAATGTCGGCGGACCTCGTACTGTATCTCGTATTTTAGGCCGCTGACGTTATCTAACCGCCCCGATTCCGCCATATCGTCCACTTGGACAGCGAGCACCATGAATGATGCGGCGTAGTCTTGAATAGAAGCCAGCTGCGACCAGGCACGCTGTGAAAGATAGAACAAGGAATGGATTGACTAACAGCATGATGGGTACAAGTACTAACCCTAATTGGGTTGTACCCCATATGGGCTACCCCACTACAGCCTACACAAGCTATAGCATATAAGTTTGACACACCCCCATAGGCAAAGTGGGGGAGACCAAGAGGTCACAGTACCAGTCAAGAAAGGCAAAGCAAGCTCAGGGTGGATCACGACGTCACCACGCATTCTGAGCACAAGCAAATGGCCACAAGGCCAGTTCACATGCAGAGTTATATAAAGGAGAACAAGCAATACAGTGATCACAACCTAGCAAGTGTAAGCATGCAGGTATATGTATAGAGATCACAGTACAAGCAGAGTCAAGAAGTAAGCAAGTGAGGCCTAGTGGGCACAAGGCCTAGAACAGTACAGAAACGCTGATGATCACAAGGCTGAAGTGCCTTGGTGAAGACATCAGCAGTGTTGGCCCGAGTGGCCACGTAAGCAAGATGAAGCTGACCACGCTGCTACAACTCTCAAGCAAGGAAGTAGCGCAGAGCGATGTGCTTTGTCCTGTGCTCCAGTCTGTGCTCCTGACACAAGGCAATCATGGCCTTGTTGTCGACGTACAGCACTGGAGGAGAACGAGGCG